AAAAAAAAAAAAAACCCTTCAGAAATGGCCTCGTCAATCATATCCTTGAAGCGGTGGGAATCTAGCATGGGATCAGAGCAAATCATGCAGCAGAAAAGCCTGAAAAACAAACTTGGTTAGTCCATGAATGGACTAAGTGCAAAATATTATAGAGAGTAAAATTAATCAAGAAATACTTCTCCATGTTGCCCTTGAATTTTTTATACAGCTCAAGCAAATCTTTTTTCTCAGAATCAGAGCCTCTGTAGTTTGCCTCAAACTCTTCAATATCAGCCTCTGTGACCTGTAAATGATATCTAAGTACTTTATATGCTGACTAGCATACAATCAACTGATAATAGAATGCTACCAAGTATCAAAGTAGGTACCTTTTTATACATGGACCTGAAAAATGTCCGCAAGTTGTGGATGACATCTCCTGCTAGGTCCTGTTAATAATTGAAAAAATACGTGTGCAGAGAATGAATCGATATTCCCTTAAACTCAATCCTCGGTAGAGTATGTAGACAGGGGAGTAACTAAGTCCTAGTAATAATAACAATCAATCTTAACAAATGCAAGTGTGATACCCTGAAGTGAGGTTGTGGTGTATATATACAAGGGAAAAAGTTGTTCATTGAATAGTTTGGCATTAAAAACTGTAACTAACTTCGACAAACTTTATTTCTGAACAAGTATTTACAAATACAATCATATAGGAGTTAACAAAACCAGTATAGCAAGGATAATTTTAAAGACTGATATTATAAAATCACATCACAGGCACCTTATAAATTTCAAATCACACTAAATATCCGTACAAAACATTCATACTCCAAACATTTGGCATATAACGGCAGTAACAACATGTGGTATCAAGACTCACAACATCATCAGCACATCCAGTCTGATCATATACAGCACGTTTCTCCTCATCACCAAGAACAGAGATGACCTTTTGTAGCTGCTGGAATTTTTCCTTAGCTTCCCATATCGTCAAATGAAATTATCGAAGTGCTGAACACAACCAAATATTTTATATTAGAGAATCAAAAGGAACACACCTGTAATTACAATAAATTACCTCATCATTGGGATTTTTATCAGGATGCAGGCGCAAAGCCAACTTGTAGTAAGCTTTCTTTATCTCTGCCTGAGAGGCAGTTTTCTCCACCCCAAGAATCTAAGATGCACACGACCAATTAATTACTACTTGCAAAGCAATACTAAGATTACATGCACACGGTCATTTGGGTTATAGTTAACAAAACCTATATCGGGTAGACGGACACTTCAGAGAGAAGTTATACAGTCAAAACCTGTTATACTATACCTTCAATCAAGGCTTTCTTCTTAAACAACTCATTTTAATTACCCTCTTTAAGCAAAAATACAGCCATATTAAGAATCCATTAGCCAAGCAACTCAATTTCATCAGATTCAATACAGACAAGCAACCAATCTCCTCTGTAACTTTACTCAACAGTCCCAATCCAGCATTATTTCATATACTTGCATCTAAAGACTTCAGGTTAAACAAATCATTTTCAACAAACGAAATTACAACACAAACATAAACCAGTAAGAACAAAAGAGTAAACAAAACGATCCAAGCAAAAACCATACCTCATACAAGCTTGTTGCGGCTGATGAAGATGATCCATGGGAAAAATCTCGGTCAGCTTCTTCTTCATCCTCGATGTGCTCCTTGGAAACCCTAGCTCTGCTTCTCTTCCCCATTTCGTAACCCTAATTGTGGAGAGTTTGAGTGAGCTTTGGTATTTGTAAGGGATGCGAATTGGGGGCAATTTTTTTCCCGCCACAACGCGCGTTTCTTGTGCATCTGTCTTCAAGCCCAATTTAGCATTAGGCCCATGTAAAAAAAAAGTGTGTTTACTTAGTTTCATTCCAAGAGTTGTAAACGAGCATAGTTCGAACCTGATAGTCGGGCTCGTCTTGGCTCATTTA